GGTGTTCTTCTTTATTAGGATCTTCGACCTCAGAGATGGTTGCACCTGGACTGATATCAATAGGGTTGCTCTGTTCTATGCTCTCAACTTGCCAATACCAGAACGACGCTGGCCGGAGCTGGGGTGTTACCTTGTAACCTGCCACGGCAGGAGCGCGAGGAAAAAATTAAGAAAGGCAAAAGAAGAAAAAAGAAACAGAGACCTCCCACCGGAAATCACGGCAGAGTGCTTCCCAGCCATCAGATCACAAATGCTCTGATGGTGGTGGTTACAACAACAGTGAACAAAGTAACCACCACATTTTTGGAATAAACTTGACTTCCATCAGCAGTGATCCGGACACCCTCCATATACTCCGTGATTGAAGGAGGGCTCCACCTAATGAGATAATTGCACAATGGCAAGTAAAATACTGAAAATCTTCTATCTAGTGGGCCTATGGCCGACCACACCCTCTTTTGGGGTTGGCTACACCCCCAACGGATTGAAAAGATTCTGACGGGAAACTTTCTTTGAACGGGCATGCGCAGTGTTGAGGAGAGGAGGAGGGGAACAAAGAGCTCCTTACTTTTTCGGGTAATACATATAAAATACCGACCGTGGGATCACGAGTACTGCATGGCAGGATTTGGGTCACTCAACTGCCCCACAAACTTGTTTAGGTCATATCCCATTGCTACTGGGACCTCGCCCCTGGACTTTGGAAAAAAAAAAAAAAAAAACGAAAAGGTCATGAGCATTACTTCTGGAAACCGGCTCCAGAGTCCCATCACTTATGTGTCAAATATAAAAGGGGCCCGGGCTGAGGGGCCAGGGGGCACCGAGGGGCATCGGCAGTCCCCTGTGCCCCATGCCCGGCCTGTGCGCATGTGTTCGACGAGGACCTGCAGAGGCTCGCTGTTCAGCTGGTGTCCAATACCTCTATCAACGACAAATGGTGAGGAGGAAAGGGGTCCGGGAAGTCCGAAGGCAGTTTCATCCCCACACCGGGGTCAACCCTTGTTGTTAGCCAAAAGGCTGAGAAAGGTATCAGGGCCTCGTCGCACTGCTCACCAAACTCAAAAATGGCTAGTGGGTTTGAGTTCTCACCAAAGCCGCGAGCCCTTGAAAACTCAACAAGACCATGCCTCGCCGCACTACCTCACCAAAACTGTCTTTGCAATGCCATTGGAACTGAATCCCTACGAGTCCACCGAAGACAAAAGAAAAAATTAGATACAAAATTTTTGTCCAGACCAGCAGTCTGCACTGGAGAATGGACCCACCAACAAAGGGATAGGATAGAAAGAAGCTTGCGTGGCCGTTGAGTGACCCAAATCCTGCCGTGCAGTATTTGCGAGTAATCCCACGGTCAGTATTTTATATGTATATGTATTACCCGAAAAGTAAGGAGATCTTTGTTCCCCGACTCCTCTCCATAAACCACCAGTACTTGGCCCAACTATCGGCCATGTGACGTGCAACCTCACGCCCTGTGCTGTCTTTCGTTTGGAGTGCTAGAAGTGCGGAAAAGGGGCCCAGAAAAACAGCAAGATGGGGTGTGCCAAGGATTTTTGGAAATTAAGTGTGGGGACACAGACGGAACTGAGATCCCCCGTGTTGGTCCGACGAAGTAAGTCGACCGTTTTTCGTATGTCGCAAAATGCGCGCGAGAGTTCGGCGCGAAAGGAGAGAGAAATACAAATTCAATCCAAAAAGTATTGCTGGACTTCCCACCGTGCTACGACCCTTCGTTTAGAGCGAAAAGGTTTCGGCACGCTTCGCGTGTTTCGTCTTCGTATTAAGTCCCGACGTCGCGCACTAGTCAGTTCTGAGTCCGACGTGGAGGGCCTCAATCGTGTGGCTCTTTCTCTGTGTTCGTCTTCGCTCCGTACGCAGTAGTGGAAACCCTTGGATTTGTAGCGCTCAAAGCGCTGGCACTCGGTGCATAGAGTGCGAGGCCAGTGGGGTTCTACTGTCGTCCACAAGATGACGATCAACTCGTTAAATGGCAACAATATCGAGTAAGGTGGAAAGTACGTATCGATAATGACAAACCCAACCTCTACGAACCCTGAACAACGATTTTATGGAGGGAAGTAATATCGTCCGCCGATCCATGCGACATCTTCTCGTACGTCCCACTCTCATACATGTGTCCTTTCCCCGTCGTAAGGAAAAGGTCGTGTTGATACGGGAGATACGGGAGGCTGACGCCCGATCGAAGGGTGTTTGTCAGTCCACATGTCAATCAATTGCAAAAATCCCGAGACGTCACCAAGGAAAAACACTCGCGCAACCACCAATCAATTCTTTTTGACACGAGAGAGGGAGAGAAAACACTCATCAGCTTGATCATGCATGTAAATGAGAGACCGACCCGCGACTCAGGTTTAGTAAGTCACCACGGCGTTGATCCCCGACGCCTTGTTTCTCAAGGCTGCCCTGTAGATCGGTTGCAGATGTCGTGCAGCATAAGGCAGATGGCCTGAGCTGTGCATTCAGAACTACAGATCTAAACACTCTTGCATTCTCGAACAAAATCCCG